ATGATCAAGTTAGACATTAACACCGTTAGATACCGGCTCAGTGGTCTATCGGTTAGGGCGTTCGCGCACAATACCGAAGGTCCTGGGTTCGAATCCTGCGGGGTGCAGGAGTCGTGGATGCGCACTGCTGAGGAGTCCCATAACAGGACGAAACGGCCGTCCAGTGCTTCCAGGTTTCTAATGGTGGTCTAACATTGATCGATTCATGGTTTCAAAAAAGTTATCTATTTGTTACATAAGGATTTACTAACAAGTCGATGAATATGACCTTTTATTGATTATATTATTAATTAAGTAGTATTCATTGATTTTAAGTAAAGCATTAATTCAGTAAATTTAGTAGTATTACCTAGTTTAGAAGTAAATGGATTATCAAACTTTATCATAGGTAAGTTATCGATTCCTTTAGGTATATGAAATATAAGTAAGTAAGTAAGTAAGTAAGTAAGTAAGTAAGTAAGTAAGTAAGTAAATAAGTAAGTAAGTAAGAGTTATCGATCTGTCACAGATAGTATGTTATCGCTTGTCACCTGTGATGTCATATTACTATGAATATCGATTTATCAAAATATATTCTGAGAGCATATAGTTTTTAGATAGTTTTCATGCTAATTTTTGTCTACCAGCTACTAACTGTAATGTGTATCACTTTTTACTGTTTCTCATTGACACTATTCTGGTGAGATTCAAGCACATAGATATGTAAATTCCATGTTGGTAATGATCTGGTTTATTTAGAATAAAATGGTGTAACTGATTTTGAAAATCGAGTAGCAATAAAAACAGTTTGGTGATGAGATTTTTTTCCGGACAAGTTCATTTACTCAAGTTGTCCAATCATATTTACAGCGATCTAACAGATAAAGTAGACTGCATAAAAACAGAATACGGATTACGTAGATAAATTTTCGGAGATTTAGACTATCAGAAGAGGATTGTGAGGTTAAAAAACTACTAACAAGATGACTATGAAAATTTACTGTAGCCTTGACGAGTGTGAAAAAAAAGAATTTAGTTGGAATAACTGCACAAATAGATCTTAAATAGCCGGAGAAAAGAATCAGCAGCTAATTGACCATATAAAAAAGTTGATTTTGTAAACAGAGTTCTAGTTTAAATCAACAAATTGTTGATGAACCAATTATCAATTCGTGGTCTCTTCGAACTTAAACAGTTGTTTTTGTATCAGTCATCAGGAAGAATATCATCTAATGGAGTAATTGAACCAGAATAAGCAAAATATTTCTATGTTGAGCTTTTTATTATTTTACATTGATTTTTCGAAGCTCCACAAAGAAATATTTGATAATCAGTTGGAAGAGTAGTTAAGATGAGTGCTGTTTGTTGCTAAAAACTATTAAAATTTCAACAAGAACAATATACTACTATTAAATAATAAGTAGTAGTATTAAAAAACATAGTGTTATTTTTTTTAGAAATAATCTGCTTATTACTTAAGTTTATTGATGCTATCTATTCAAATTTCAGTATCAATGCTAACAATACTGGACTTGATTTATTGATGAGTACATTGATTTGATTAAATTGGTCGGCTTGAAAAGATGATGAGATACACTTAGTTTCAGCTGTCTTCAACAGTGAAAATTCTCAGGTAAACGTTTAGTTAGGGATTTTCTCAAAAATAGTCAATGAAACTATCAGCGTTTTAAGCAGAAACTGGTAGTTACTATCAGTAGAATCTAGGGCGTGTATTTCGTTTTATTTGGGACTTATCAGCTGGATATACTAGCTTCTAAAAGTTTCTATTCACTTCGGGATCTGAAACTAGTACCGTTCGCTCCCATCTATATATAACATTTGCTTATTAAAAAATTTAGAATGCTTTTGGGCATTATGTATCGAAGTGTATATTATGAAATAAATCGTCAAATAAAGTAATGGGGATAAATTAAGGAAATCTAGTGAGATGAGTGTAAGCAGAAGAAAATGTCATCAATAATTTGCAACAGTGGATGATTTACTAATCTGTAATAACTTTTTGCTGAACCAAATAATGATTGATTCATGATTTCATCAAGCGTACCTAGCGACGAACCCTACATAAACAATAACTTCACGAAGAGACAATTCTGAACGTTTAACTTTTCCAGTCCTCTTCCCGATAGAATAGGCTTTAACTATCTATGTCAGCAAAAGTGCTAAATATCTATTAAGATTATTTGAGACATCGTAGCAAAAATGTACAAGAATATGAAACAGTGAAAATTTCCAACTTATTAGTCAGTAGTAACCAGGAATTTACTATCCAACTTGGCCAGATCCTTTCAATGTTGATTTCCCCCCATTTTTACTGTCCTTTAAGTACTCAATACACTTTTTGTCAGTTTATGGAATATTATCAGACAAAAAGATTAGTAATATCTAATTCAATAGTTTGTAGTTTATTGTAACAATATTCAAACTAACTGATCAAAAAACTTTTTGTGTAAGATGATTCGCTACCTTTATGGTCTTAAAGATGTGAGCTTTTCCGTTAAAAAACGGGTCAAGTTATGAAACTGCATCAGTTGAGGTGGTTCTATCAAAATTTATAAAAGGGACTAATTGTTTTAAATTTCTAAAAAGATATGTTTTGTTACGAATACGTGCATCAAATAGAACAGGGAAAATTAAAAGGCTATTCCTGAGTTATTTTGTCTTTACTCTGTGAATATGTATGTATCAGATAATGAAAATGTTACATTTCAATTTTATTCTACTCTTAGGTTTCCATTCGACTTATTAACTGTGGCCATATTTCCTTCTCCTAATGTTAAATTACTGTTAATTAATTATAAAGCTGTGTTGGGAATGTTGGATCCCCAGTACTCGCTTGATAAATATCTTTATTTTGGATTTATTTCATGGACCGATCAGTTCACCTTGGGATCACATTTCCCACCAGGAAAATCCTTGGCTGAGTGATTGGTCACTGTGTCATTTTAGTGTGCTATTTTTGCGATTGTCCCAAGGACGTCTCTAAAGAGTATGAATAAACACAATTTGAGTGCTTGGATTCATTGTGTGTGCTTACTGGATGTTTGTAGAATACAATTTCTAGACTACATCAAGACTTCCCGCTGATACCTTTTGGTCAAGGGATCACAGTAACTTACCTGGACGCTGGTTCATTGTTTTGTCCTCGTTATTCGACTAAGGTGAACTCGCAATAGTTTTAAGCATACCTAGAGACGAGCGTAACAAGCTGTTACATAGATATTGTTCTGAAATGATCATAGTAATGTCCATATCATGAATTTTTGTCAAGATGAGGTTGTGTAGATTGTTGAGTATCGTTGAAATCATGAACTGATCAATGGTTAGATCACCGATGGAAACTTGTATGCACAAGTCGGCTATTTCTTCAATAGGTTGTGGACTTCTATAGCATTCACAAAACCACTAGAACTTTAAGTGTATAAGCGAGACAAGATTATCCGCTAGCTTTCTGAAGGCACATACATGCAAACATTTCTTATCGGTAGTTGTTGTGTAACAATTACAGTGATTAAGTTTCTTTGAGTCAAGATCTTTTCTCATAATTCACTGTCATAACGGAAGGAAAGGAGAATACCTATTATATAATCTGGAATTTTCAGAAGGAAAATTCTGTCGATTTCAGTAATCATTATTTTGATAAAGGCAGATTGTCATGAATTCATGTATTCCTGTAAGACGAAAGATTTGCAGTCAGAGATGACTATACGTAGTTGTTTAAAATGTGTGATAAAATAATATTTAATGGTGAGTAATATGGTCAAATGACATTTTATCAACATAACACTAACTGGTTGTTCAATAAGGAAGTACTCTTGTTGGAGGCGTTAGATCCCTAGAACTCACTTGATAAAGATCCTAATTTTGAAATTTCGAATTTTATGTTTTCGCGCCAGAGACTCTTGCATTTCCCACTTGGAGAAATCCTTGATTGTCATTGGTTGATGGATTATTTTAGTACGCTATTTTGTGGCTCTCATCAAGGGCATTGAATCATTGTATAAATAAGCCCTAGTTGTGTGATTGTGGACTTCGTACTTTCTGATTGTCTGTTGAATACATTTCTCTACGTCTTATCAAGACTTCTTGCTCTTTCTAGTTAGTGTGGCCTGGGACGTTCAGATTAGAGTAGCCTATCTCGGCGCTTATCCAATGATCTTCATTCCGTTTACCCAGTAAGGTGAATTCGTAATAGTTCGAGAATATCAACTTTATCCATTTTAAGTTTATTTTCACTACAGTGCATCATTGAAATTGTTCAATGGCTTAGTTAAACTAGTCTAACAATAAGCTACATATCTACATATAATTCTGGTATATGAAATCGAGTACAGTAGGCTGTGATTATTGTTCATTAAAATATGGCCAGACAGTGTCATGCATTTCATTGGTAAATTCTCCTAATTATGTTGAACAATTATTGTTTGGTTGATAGACGGATTGACAATGTGTTCCTGATTTAAGTTCATTTAACTCATGTAAGATTAGTCGTCTTCTCTGTGTATCTAGTATCAATTCATGACTGTCGCATACGTTATAGAATCGTCTTCATTGTTCGCATTAGAGAAACAAACCACATCGGCGTATCCCAAAATAACCAGTTCGATTTGAGATTCAGGTGTCCAAAACAGGTGCAAGAAATTGTGAGCATTAAACTATAAAATCTTCGACACTACTGGATGCCTCATAAGATAGTCATTATTATACGGAATTCTTTAGATGGATTAAACTGCAAAGTCGTGCATAGAGGACAGGTGAAACAATCGTTCGAAGTGAAGACCGGTGTCAGGCAAGGTTGCTTACTCTCACCCTTCCTATTTCTCCTGGTGATCGACTGGGTTATGAAGATGTCAACATCTGGAGGGAATCACGGTATACAGTGGACAATTAGAATGTAGTTGGACGACCTAGACTTCGCCTATGATCTGGCTCTTTTGTCGCTGACACATTAACAAATGCAAGAGAGGATGATCAGTGTGGCAGCAGCCTCAGCGGTAGTCGGTCTCGACACCAGCCGGAGCGTACAATTTTTTTTACATTTATCTACGCAAGGTATTTCGGATCCGCCAGTCTGATACCAACGGCAACAACTTACTGTGGGACAGAAAAACGGAGGAAGAGAGGCCGAGGATATACGTATGCATTCATGTTTGATGAATGACCAGTTTTGAAAAATCACATGCAATTTTCAATTATCAATCCGAAGAAAACGGAAACAAATACATTGTGATTTCAAAATGTGAAATAATAAACTCTTGATTCTCTGTTTTTCTCTTCTGTCTTCTTCTTCTGCAAAAGTTACAATTATCTATGTGACATTTTCAATTCTTAATAATTCACATGTCTTATCCCATAACCATTTTCTTTCATCTTTATTCTTGACAATTGCCAATGGTTCTTTCAATGTACAATTTGAATAATAACCACCTGGGATGATGTTGTCAGATAATATTGTATAGATTGTAGTTTGTGCTCCTTGCCATGGTCCAATGAATAGCGGTTTAACTAGTTTTACCAAATATTTCTAAAATACGAAACATTTATTTACATGCAAAACTATTCAAATGACAAATTATTGATACATTGAATTTGAGTAATGTGCATGATTTGAATTGGAAATGATGAATAGAGAAGTGAGCCGATTATAATAGACAATTATCAATATAAAAATACATCCATTATGAATTGACTAAAGTGAGTAATCAGTTTTTCCAAAAACAACGGGCTTCAACTGGATTCAACCGTCAAAATATTCCTTATTTTAGAGCAACATTAGTTTGTTGAATACAGGAGAGACTATTTGAACGACTACTTATGTTTGTTAATGAAGTTACTTTAATATAAATAATCAGAATTAGAAAATTCTTGTGCATCATCGTCGAGCAAGGTGGATCCGATGAAGTTGTGAGGGCGAGGATTGGCAAAGCAAGGACGGCATTTCTACAATTGAAAAATATCTCTAAATCCAGACAACTTTCAACCGAAACCAAAATCAGGATTTTCAATACAAACGTCAAGACAGTTCTACTGTGTGGAGCTGAAACTTGCATAACTTCAAAAGCCATCATCGAGAAGATACAAGTGCATATTAACAGTTGTTTTCGCAAAATACTTCGTATCGGTTAACCAGACACGATCAGCAGCAACGTACTGTGGGAGAGAACAAACCAGATTCCAGTGGAGGAGGAAATCAGAAAGAAGTATTGGAAGTGGATAGGACACACACTACGAAAAGCACCGAACTGTGTCACAAGACAAGTCCTCAATTGGATCCCTCAAGGTGAAAGGAAAAGAGGAAGGCCAAGAAACACATTACGCCGAGAATTAGAGAAAGGTATGAGAAGAATAAACAAAAATTTGACAGAACTGGAGAGGGAAGCCCAGGACAGAGTTAGCTGGAGAGAACTGGTGGGCGGACTATGCTCCATCGGGGGTAACAGGCGTAAGTAAGTAAGTAAGTCATATAAATAATCATAAATAAAAATATTTCTGCGATAACAATCGGCATGTTTACAGTATTTTATTGATCAGAATAAATTTGTGAATTCGTTACTTGAACCATTTCACAAGCCAAGCTTTAACTTGGAATCCTCAGCGCCAGATTAAAGGAGGACTGTTACAGTTATCAAGTAACATTATACCTTTTCAACACCAGTCCATTAGACATGATTTTACGTCATCATCAAATGAGATGGTGAATTAGTGAAAATCGAAAAATGTTCTTTATTTGTTGAATCAATCATTTCAACTTACCAATGCAAATCCATTCACATCTCGATAAAATTCAGTTTTAACTACTCCAGGATGTAAACTAACTGCAATAACTCCGCTGTCATGTAATCGCTCACTTAATTCTACAGCATGCATAACATTGGCTAATTTGGAATTACAATAAGCATTCAATTCACTATACTCTTTCGGTTGAATTTGTAAATCTGGTTTGATTAAACAACCTCTAACATGTACCCTTGATGATACATTAATAATTCTTGCAGGAGTTGAACGTTTTATCAAAGGTAATAATAATTCTGTCAAGAGAAAATGTCCAAAATGATTTACACCCATTGTCATTTCAAAACCATCAACTGTTTTCTCATATTTACTCACTGCAAGACCAGCATTGTTAATGAGAAAATGAAGTTGTGCATAAGTGTTGATGATTCGGCTAGCGAAATCTTTGATCGATTGTAGTGAAGCCAGATCAAGTTGTTCAATGATCAACTGAAAGAGAATTTTATTAAAAAGATATGATTTTTGTTAATGTGAGCCAGCATAAGCAATAAATGATGAAATTGAATGTAACATATCATTCTTTATCGAGTTATGGAGTTTGTGGGTTTTTTATTTCGAAATCATGAATCAACCACTGTCCAACGAATCAGTCAATCAATGTAGAACTTTGTACGTATGTACGTACATCATTTCAAGTTGTCATACTACATATTGACACAGAGATGTAATTGTCGTTTCAAATCCAATAGTAGTAGAGGTAGTAAAGGTATTAGAAGTGATCGGAGAGGTTAGAATTAGAAGTTATTATTCAAGAAGTATGATTCAGTGCGATAAGTTTAGAAAGACAAAACTAGAGGTGTTGAAGAATCCAGAAGATTAGGATTTGAGAGAACACCAAGAGTGGATGCACCTGAGCCATTGCAAACGGTTTTGAGGCATGTTACTCAGGATCTCTAACCATCGATTACTATCATCTCGCGGATCTCAATCAGGTGGTGGACACCTACCGACATGACTCAATCCACTTGTCGGTGACTTCATAGATTTGTGCCATGTTTTGGTCTGGCCGCTTCTAGTTTTCTTCCAAGCTATTCCTACATCGCAAAATATAGCTCGACCACGCAGTCGGTGGTTAGGCATACGTAAAACATTTACCAACCACCTCAACTGATGAAGTTTCAGTACTTCATCTATTGACTAGCCATTTCCTAACAACAGCATTGCTTACTCGGCTCTCCCACGATACTCGAGCATTGCTGGTCTATTGATTCACTTAGTTCTGAAATCTTATTCATATTAACATTAGAATTTTAGCCGAATTTTATCTCCGCATTGCAACTAACCAATCTCCGGTCTGGTAATGTGTTAGCTGCTGGTATCCAGAAAACCTACTGCTCTGAAACAAGCGTTTTCATTCAAATCCCGATACATGCAAGCTCACAACCAACTGCCAACTAAGTAGAATTAGACAGTCGAGTAGCTAGACCTCCATTCATTGGACACTACCGAACACCTGGAACCGTACCGAAAGAACAAGAATCGAGTTCGTGTAAAAGACATTGGATATTGAACGTACTAAATCCATTTATTAAATAGTTAATCATTCTCTAATATTATGAAGTTGAATTTAGTGAAGATGTAATTAACGAAATTGACTGGATGATATGTATAGTAGGTATTTAATTTGGTAGTACATTGTAAATGTGAGCACTATCTCCAATCCGTTCACATAGATTTCTTCACACTAAACAATTTATTTGAGATAATTCTTAGCTTCAATTTCAATCATATTCTTTCTACACTGAAAGATTTTGTATTCAAGTGGTCCAGTAACTCATTGCTCAATATAATGTGAGTTTACACATTCTAATTCAGTCATTGGAAACGGATTATTGAATTTTGTTAAATTCAGACGTTGAGGGAATTAAATGTGAGTATTTAGTTTTATTTTGATTGTATTGGAGATTTCGTAGTATTAATTATACAATACAACCCTATAAACTTGATTTTATCATAACACAAACTGAAAGTTTGGCATGTTACGGCCGTCTCAATGGATTAATGGAAAATTCCGTATGTGTTCAACCGATGTAATGTTTGTTCTGAATCATTCAGATGGAAACAACATACTTCAGAATTAGCTTGAACTGATAACTAACATCTAAATACATATTCACACAATTCAATTGGAAAAATAATTGAACTTACTTGATCACTATTGATTGGACTCAATGATGGGATCACCTCTCTACATGCTACATCAATGTTCACACTCTGTGGATTATCAACACCATATCTCTCCAATAAACGCTTTTTGGCATCTTCCGCTTTTCGTAAATTCCGACATGCCATGATGACTTGTGCACCACGACGAGCTAATTCTCCAGCTGTAGCTAACCCAATCCCAGTATTTGATCCAGTGACAATAACCAATTTTCCATCTAATCGTTTTGAAATAGAACATGCTTTGTGAAAAATACCGTTTGTCTCAGACATTTATTGTAGTGAGTATATACAGATTGTGTGTTATATACAAAATTGTATTCCTAAATACGTATAGATTCACAGTTTCATTCAAGGTAGTGTTATTGTTCAAGTGAAATGGCTTTAACTGATCAGATTTCAACAATTTGTATTCACAAGTTTTTAGAATTTTAATGCATGACAGTAGTATTGAAATATATGTCAAGTTAAAATATGGAATACGTGATTTGAAAGAGGCTATTTGTTAATGATATAAATATGTCTGGGCATATGATTTCAATGTGTGTGCAATAGATTACTTACTACTGATAATAGAATAATGTGACACGTGAATAATTAAATTATTGGCAAGATATGTCAGTTTATCTTAGCTAGTGAGTGATTGGCTAGTTAGTATTACTGACATCAAAAGATATTATAGAAATAATGAAATGTTTGTACAAATTCTTTGATTATGAATTCACTGGGTACATTATCCCTAATTCAGGTCTATTATGGTTGAAAAATCAAACATTTCGGTATTTTAGAATACAAATCATTACCCGGCATGAGATAAAGGGTGCTAAGAGTTCATCTTCTACTATCCTACGCCATATAGGTGTATACCATATACTATACTGTTATATAGAGCTGAAGGTTTCCTATGAGACCAGAGGTTCGCTGTGAACATTGTGGATAGCTTGGCATTGCTTTGGCAAGTATTGCTAACAGTCCATATACAAAATTGGTTAGCAGGGTGACCGAGTTCATTGATACTGGTGGTTGTTTTGCAACATGTCTGAGAGCCGTTGTCATTGGAGTGCTGTATTGCTTATCGGCATTGACAGTCATGAGGTGCATACTGATTGACGCCATGATGGATCGGAGAAAGTTACTGTATATATACTAGTGTATATAAATGGCGTGAACCATCCACTGGGGTGTCAAGTACCTGTATAGTTGAGCCTATATGGGATTGAGCTTAACTGTTCACTTTGAAATGTTAACATGTGGTCAGTCTGCTTGGTTCTCCTAAAAACCAATGTAAAATTACTCTTTGCCAATATAAAGTTAATTTAGTGAATTAATTAACTGGCAATTCATTGAATTAATGATGATTCTATGAAATTCATTGGAAAATAAACCAAGTGTGATATTTTTTTTAAATGCTTGTTTGAGTACACTATTTTAAGTCTATCCATTTTGATAAAACTGTTATTTTGATATGATCGAAAATGCTTCATCATTTAAAGCATTTCGTGTTATTTTTTTAATCATAAACACATGGTATTTACATTTGGTTTTGTCTTTTGTAATTCTGTTAACCATTATTAATAAAATATTCTGTTGATTGTTGAGAGTATGCGTTCTAGCCCGTCACTTAATTGTCATACTAAACAGAATCTAGTGTAACCATGAAGTGTGACTTCCATGAAAAATAGGATGTTTCAAAATTCCTGTCCTATTCGAGTAAGCTCATAATCTCTAACACAGATCAATTATGTTTGTGATTTATGGCAATGTCTTCTTGGTATTGTCGTGTTCTTAGAGTAGTTTCTAAAATAAATAGTCTATCTGTGAATGGTTTGAAGAAAGGTCGGTTGGTTGTAGGGAGTTTTAAACTAGACAGAGTTTTATGAAGGGTTATGCTAAATCTTCAGAATGTAAACAGTGTTGTGAAGGAGAACACAGGTGAGGGCAACCGAATTGTATTTATCGCAAATTACAGAGTTACTCAGTAAAATAGGAAAACCATATCGTAACCGTTAATTCGCAAATCTTCAATCCATCATCTGACATTTCACTGTTCATGCATTTCACACAAATTCCATTGTGTTCCCACTCTTCTTCCTTTCTTGATCTTCCCCCATCTTCTGCTGCCAGACATTACGTTGACACTTGCGTCATATACTACTTATAAGTAGTGCGCACCACAACAGTACTTTGAAATTAAAACTACTTGTAATAGGTTTGTATTAAGTCTCACATGTACCTAGACACAAACTCTAGTCTTCAGACGTGACGTGAATGTAATTTTCTCATCATCATTTTCCAAAAAAGCATTTTCAATAAATGATACTGGAATTCATTAGTGCACTAGGGAATTGCTCATTATGCTCACATTACTGTGTGTGACAAAGGAAAGCCTTTGTTTAAACCTGATTTACGACGTTATAATCTTGTTCACAAAGAGATGATTTCTCTGAGTCTTACTTCATCATTTGTACAATAAAATTAGCAATGAAGTAGAACATACGTAAATAGGATCTTGTTGGGAGCGTTCGATCCCCAGAACTCACTTACTAAATGCCTTATTTTGGATTTCACGTTTGCAAGCATGGGCTGGTCATTTGACCTTGAGATTTCATTTCCCACCAGGAAAATCCATGGCTGTGATTAGCTGCTGTATATTTTAGTGTGCTATTTTCGTAACTGTCCCAACGACGTTTCTATGATGTATAAATAAACGAGATTTGAGTGCTTGATTGTATTGTGCTATCTGGGTGTTTTTAGAATATACTTTCTACTCTTATCAAGACTTCTCATTTTCCGTTTTTCTGATCAAGATAGCCTACCTAGACGCTGGTTCATTGTCTCGTTCGCGTTGATCGACTAAGGTGAACCCGTAATAGTGACCAACCTAACAGATCTTTCCTTAAAATTTGGATTATTATGAATATTTAAAGAAAGTTTTTTCTTTGATATAAGTGTTGGTGTCCTCGTTCAAAAAAACACTGAATGCTTCTTCGTTAAACTTTGTAGCTTAGACAACAATGCTGAACTACTATAAGCTTGATCCATCACTCTCTTTTGAATGATGCTTATGTTCAGTATCAGAGTCAACTAATCGATATTATAAACATACATGCTAAGTAGGTTATCTTTCACTACACACATCGATAATCACTTTCAATGTGTTCAAGAGTCATTGAGAAGAAACAAACAACTTCTTACAGTATGAAGTGTACTCAATGGTTCTTATGAAGGTCTAATCATCTGATTGTGTTAATCACTTATTGGAATAGTAAAGAAAACCGATGATCTCTTATTTTACTTTTGTAGTGTGCCGATAACTGCGTGTTCTTATAGCTCCGTTTATAAATCAGAAGGTGAACTCCATGTATCGTATACGTTTATTTGAGGCACACCACATAGAGAAGCGATGAAGCGACGTGGAGAAGGCTAGTGAGCCAACTCAAAGAGATAGAGTATGACTAAGAATATATAGTCAGATAACAATAAGACAGACATATGACAAGCGAAATAGGTATGCACACACATGAATAAAAGCGACGAATGATTGACAAGGTCAAATGACAAGCGATACAAATCATGTGAGTTCATGGGGAAAATTACGAGATTAACATTAAAGCGAAAAGGATGAGTAAGTGCGTAAGCGTAAGCAATGCTCAGTCGTACAAGCTCATAAAAAGCAGATAATAAAAAATACCAATGGTACATATGAGTTGTTGCTATACAAATGGCTTGGTTAAATAAATTAATCGAAAGGGCTTAACCAAGTTAGATGTAAGAGAACTGGAATATATGTGGAGGCACTACACTTTTTTAAAAACAAGAAAATTACTTTTCTTTAGTTATAAAATGATACTCTGTACAGAATAGTGATTATCTACTACAGTATTTTAAGTTGTTCACAGTTTGAGCACAGTTGATGACGAAAACTGTAATTCTTTGTGGAATTCAGTAGACACAGTATAAGTAAACCAGTATCTCTTAGGTGTGTGTGTATTGCGGACACAAATGTATGTTTCCCTATTCAGACAACAGTGTAGTACAATGACAAAAAGGATAATATCTTCTGAATTTTGATGATGACTGTCTTGGTGTAAAACGTTCTCAATTGGTTTCGAGATTTTTAATTTATAATTCATAAATATTATGATTCCAGGCAGATGTGCTATAAATTAATCGTATATTGTATGAATGTCTTTATGACCTAGTCAAAACAAAGATCTACTGTTAGAAGTTGATGGAAGTAACCAAGTGGTTAATTTTGCAACTTGATTTTAAACAGAATGATTAGTATACTTTACATTCATAATTTCTGTTCATGTCTAGTGTTTGTGATCTTCATAGTATTCTGTAGTTTAACTCAATAATGGCTCTCCTCATGGATTATCGACACCTAGAACACTGTAGAAATCCATTCAACAATGAACATTTAATTAATTGATTGATCTTCAATTTCTCCACAGTGTACATAATCAACCTGGTCAACGAATAGAAATTTGAACTTTAATATACTGAGCCAAGTGTTAAATGCACGCATTGTTATCATGGGTAAAATTTAAGTTTATTCGTGCAAATGTGTTTACATAGTTTGGAACTAACACAAAAGGAATGTTGACTGCATCTACCATTGTGACTCGTGATTTGAGTTCATTTAATAAGCTTTGTCAACATTTGGCTGAGGCGAAAATGTTGGGTTCGAAATGAATTAACGCTCACTGATAATTTCGTGATTGAATTCGTTAATAATCGTTGAGAATTCAGAATTCGAAATGAGTAATCAATCATTGTTGAACCAACATTAGAAACCTGGAAGCACTGAAAGACAACCGTTTCTTCCTGGTGGGGGACTCATCAGCAGTGCACATGCACGACTACAGCACCTAGCAGTATTCGAACTCAGAACCTTCGGTATTGTGCGCGAACGCCCAATCATTGGACCACTGGGACGGTAACCAACGATGGTGATTTCAAATGTGTAAAAACACTAATCTCCATAGCTCTTACTGGAAATTCAGGATTCGTCACTAAAGCATGTTACTCAGAGAATATCAAATCATGAAAACCGACTTCGTTCAGTGTAGAAGTAACGAATAACTCTTAGTTGGTTGTGATGATAGCATAAGTCTCATGTTCTTAGTGCTGGTCGGTAATAATGAGTGAGAGTTACCTGTGATTTTGAAGAGACTGATGTTTGATGTGGAATCGGTAACCACGAATCTATGATGTAACTGACATTTATTGAAAATACAATTGGATTAACTGAAAATGTGTTAAGTATGCAAGATGTGATGTGTTTGTATTTCGCTCAATAATGACTTATCGTCAAATCTCCCACACAATTCTTGGATAAACTTAACGGGGTTTCAAATCAACAACAAATAATTTTTTATATGCTCCGACATAGCAGCCTTATTTATCTCAATAGAACGAAGTTTAGCTAAAGAAATTCTATCCCTGCTCCTCACCAACGACATAAATCTCCATAAGTATGCAAAGCTTCAAAGTCGAAGTTGAAGTCTAA